CGGTCGGGGTAGACGACGGATGGGGCCCACCTACGAAGGCTGTCCAGGCCTACACGAGATGAGGCAGGATAAAGAGGGATAATCCCCCTCGATCCCAAATCATTGAGGCCAATTTCTAGCCATAGAATAATGGCGCGCGCGAATTGATATTAAAATCCATATAAAATAAATATTTTGCCAAAACAAAGAAATTCTTTGTATTGTGCAAAACGTGATAGAACAGTACATCTATAAGAGCAATCAACAAAGTTTTTTTCTACAAATTATCAAACTTTAACAAACACGAAATACATAAAACCAAAAATTATTTCCCTAATCCATAAAGAATTATGTTCCACTATACATGGTCGGTCCTCTCACAGGGGGGTGTTTAAATTTGGAATATTTAAAGAGTAGAACAGTGGGAGCACTTCAGGAGGAGTTTCTAGACGATCAGAAAGGAGCTATAATGTTAATGGAATTCTAGGATTTTTACTAATCTATGGTTGGTTACAGCGGCGGTTCTGTCATATTTTAGAGTACACAAAAATGTTTTTCCGATTTGATTTGTATATTTAAAAAAGTTGCTAATTTTTGTTCAGATTCATAAATAAGGTATGGCTTCATCTCAAGATGCCTGGTATCTTTCTCTTTTAGGATTAGCTGAACACTTCCGAACTTCCAGTCCTCCCATGATAAAATTATGCATTCAGTGTTTACAAGCAGTTTTTAATTTTAAACCCCCCCAAAGGGTAGAAGCAAGAACACATTTACAACTAGGAAATATTCTTCTAAGTCATACAAAGAATATTGATTTGGCAAAAAACCATTTAGAACAAGCAGTAATAAATTCTAACCTTAAATGTTTACATTTTAAAAAGCACAAATCAATTTTCAGTGGTTACTTTCTCAAGTAATTAACTCCTTCGATGATGTTAAATTTGAAGCCGCAAGTGTTTTGGCTGAATTATATGAGCAACAAGAACAAATATGGTTGTCAAAACCAATATTAAGAAAGGCTATCGAACTATCTCAGCACAATGTATATTGGCATTGCAGATTAATATTTCAGCTGGCGGTAAGTTATAATATTTATAAATTTATCTCTGTAATATCGTACATATATTTTTTTAGCAAATTCATGCCACAGAAAAAGACTATACATTGGCAAGCAGTTTGTTAGGTGTAGGGGTAGATTATGCACACATATCTAATGCGTCTTACACTAGAGTATTGTTTTTATTAAGTAAGGGTATGGTAAGTACTACAAAATGACAATATATATGTACTATACAAAAACATAATACAACATTTTTTTTAGTTACTACTAATTGACAAAAAGTTACAGGAAGTACAACCAGTTTTAAACCAAGCCAGTCATTTAATTGAAACTTGGACAGGTGCTGTTTATCAAAAGGAATATCTTAAAGTGTATTTTTTAGTTTTACAGGTAATGCTTCAATCAAATTTGATTTGAGGAATCTCAAATATTTAATGATGCGACAATATAATGTTTTATCATAATCATAAATGTACATACTAGAAACATAATTGCCAATTCCAGGTTTGCCATTACCTTATGTCAGGGCAAGTAAAAAGTGTCAAACCATGCTTGAAACAACTTCAACAAAGTATCCAGACTATAATGGCTACAGACGATGGTAGAATAAAAGATATATTTTTTGTTCAGTGATTTAAACAAGCTCTTTTATAGTATTTATGGGACCTAGTGCAGGAGATATGTTTCTTTGGATGCCTAAAGAGCACCTCTATGTACTAGTTTATTTAGTGACGGTTATGCATAGTATGCAAGCAGGCTACATGGAGAAGGCCCAAAAATACACTGACAAAGCTTTAATGCAAATAGATAAGTTGAAATGTAAGTTTTTTTTGAGTTGTAACGTATGTAACTACAAACATTTTAGTTGTAGATAATAAGCCTATTCTATCAGTATTCCAATTAATGTTATTAGAGCACATTATAATGTGCCGTTTAGTTATGGGGAATAAGACTCAAGCATTGCAAGAGATAGCTTCAGCTGCTGCTTTGTGCAAGCAATGTCCTCGTTTGTTAGAAACGCATGGGCCTCAATTGCATACCCTATTAGGATTGTACTCCATGAGTATGAACTGTATGGAAGCTGCAGAGGCACAGTTTATAGCAGCATTAAATGTAAGTAGATTGTAATTCTTTCATATTGCCGCTGTTCCGCTGTTAAAATGAAAAGACATATCTCAACATCTGGTTTAAATGAGTAACCTTGTGCCATTATAATAAATCTAATGGCTTTTTCTGCCTGGTGACAAAATGGTGTATCTCAATCTTACGCTGTAATGTAGAATATTAATGACAAATTTTAAGCATATCTCGACTATTAATGAATAACTACAAAGGTTTAAGTTGACATTCGCCGATTTGACGCTCCACTGGTGCCTAAACTACTGCGGCCTATCAGTGGATGGAGCCTGTACAGGTAATTTGAAACCTTGAATCTCCACAGATGTAAACAGAAAATTCAATATGCTCACATTAAGTTTTATCAGTTATAATATCACAAGAGCATAGAAAATATTCGATTATACTTCCGAGTCACGAGACGTATTCTGCGAAACACCACGACAGCGTAGCTGGAGTGGTGTTTTAAGGATATACGTCGAGTGAGGAGGTTAGTATAATCGAATATTTTCGTTTGCTCGAGTGGTATTCGATACGATTATATAATTCAGAGCTTGAACCGAAGCGGTTCCATTTTTTTTGACGTTTATTGACAAATGTTAAAACTATCATTACCATGACATAGTTCACATTGTTGGAGGAGGCGAAACACCAAAACGGTTATACCACGTCGTCAAGTGTATAATCGCTTATCAATACATAGTAACTACGTAAAATTTGTAATTGCTATTGGCTAAATTCCTAATGAATTATATAATCACTATAATATCGTCCAGAACCGGTGCCTAATGGCAAAATAATGATTCACTGTAGCTCGATTGGCCGGCAAAACGTGTCAAATGACTAAATTTATTTTTCAGTCCTCGCTGACATTTATCTCCATCTCTGACTAAACATCGGATGTACTTCGAGTATCTCTCTCATACCGAAAAAATTTGATTTTCGGCGAGGACTCTTTAAAAAGGAAAATATAATATTTGATTTGGAAATTTTAAATTGTAGAGAATCAGAAACATAAATTTACTTATATTGGTCCAGAGATGTAATAACCAAACTTAACAGTAAAACATAAAAAATGTAAGACCAGTTTAACATCTTTTAATAACCGTGTTTTATTTCATTCCAGACATCTCGAGAAAGAGAGTTGTGGACATTTGCTAATTTAAATTTAGCTATTGTATATCTTAGAGGTAAAAGAGAGGCAGATTTTATAGCATTACATGATAGAATCAATCCTGAAAGTTTGCCGTCACACTCTCACAGTCTAAGGGCAGCTGCTTATTACGTTCAAGGCTTACAAGCATTTTTTCAAGGTCGATACAATGAAGCAAAGTTAGTATTTTGTAGTGATATTCCGATGGATTTCTGTAGTTCTTAATGAATTTTATTCTAGGAGATATCTCAGAGAAACTCTAAAAATGGCCAATGCCGAGGATTTGAACCGACTGACGTCTTGTTCATTGGTACTTTTAGGGCATATATTTCTTTCTTTAGGAAATAGCCGGGAAAGTATGAATATGGTAACACCAGCCATGCAACTCGCAAGCAAAATACCTGATGTTCATGTACAGTTATGGGCCTCGGCAATATTGAAAGGTAATTTTTAAATCATTAAAATGATTTTTCTCTTTAAACAATGTGTTTTCTAATATGTTTTCTGTAAAGAAAAGTGATATTCAACAATACACTGGTCCTATTGCTAAGTATGTGCTTTTTGTATTATTTGTAATAGAAAAAAAAGAGGTTACTTTTTTACGCAAATGTTTCAGGGAAATGCTGATAGTCAGCCAGGGACGGATGGGGTATGCTAAACCAGTCTGGGAAAACATCACTAATAGGTCCAGTCATTATGGCTACGGAAATCATATGGTGGCCAGCGTAATTCAATGGGACACTAGTCGATAGGCTATTCAGTTGACCAGCCTTCCAGGCATTTGCCCAAATGCATGACCATCCCATCCATCCCTGCATTCAGCATTTGTATTTCTTTTCATGTGTCACTTATAGGCAATATTAATAGCTTTTGCCATGTATTTGACCTATACAATAATATATAGCCATTGACTGTGAAGTGGTGGCTAGTGTAGATTAAAGTTGTCATATTTTGATAAAGAAACGTAGTACTCATACGTTCTTTAGAGGATAATTTTTAGGCCCATGCAGGGAACTTTCATGATGAAAAAGTTTCAAAAAATTAAATTAGCTCTTACTGTTCTTTAGTCCAGGAATCGAAAACCTTTTTATAAAATGGGCCACTTTCATTGTTTCGAATCAAATGCAATTACGTCTGACTGTTAGATACTGTTCCTAATGTGTTAGGAACAAAGCTAATATAATACGTTATGGACTGGTGGGCCTTACAAAAATTTATGCCAAGCCGCAGGTTGCTGACTCCTGCTTTAGGGGATAACTTTTAAACTTGTGAAACAAGAAATTAAAATAGGGGGTTAGCTCAAACCATAAGGGCATACCTACAGTTGATTTTTGATTAATACTAACTAATCATACCCGATAAGAGTAAAATGTATTAATTTCATAAGCACATCAAAATTTAAATGGTATTATTTTTCTTATTTCAGTTCAAAATTATATTTCAAACTTTAAAGATATTAAAGTCAAAAACCCCACACTACAGTGTATGTATGAAACTATCGAACATAAAATTTAACAAACTTCCACTTAAAAATGGTAGGGGTCCCACACTTCATTATCAAAATATGACCACTTCAATTTTTACAAACCAACACTGCATTTTCAGCAATGCTCACATTAAGGTATTAATGATCAGCAAGCTAACCATAAGTCTGTATGAAACAGAGGTTATACAGTACCTAAAACATTACAAAGTTTCGGATGGCACATTATTTATTATTTTGAGTCAATTTTTAAATAAATTACTAATTCAGTAGCCAAGCTGTCTCGTATTTATTAAAAAAAGTTGGCCTGCAATGAGAATTAGACAAAAACCACAAAATGTGGTAACAAGTAAATATTTAGACAGAAGAGTTTATTTATGATTTAGTAATTCGTAATGTCTCCTTTGGCCTTTATAATAGTGGGAATTCTCTGTAGCATAGTGTCGACTAAGAATCCAGAAAGTTCCGGACTGAAAAATCCCCAAATCAGAATTTCTTTTTGAGATCAGGAATTGTCCCTTGGGAGTTGTTCCGCAAAGATTTTTTTTTATATTGTGTCGTAATGTTTCAATGAGCCTCCAAACTTTTTTTTTAATTTTAGCCACATGACAGAGGATGCACCGTTTTACTGGAAAATGAAACTTCACCGCAAAATTGTTCTAGTGCTGTGGACAGTAAGTTACTTTCCAAGATATCCTGATATTTATCTACATTAATGCTTCCCTCCCTGTTTGTCATCACTGAAAATTACTGGGATCCAAGTCTTCACATGTCCAAGTAGCTTCCGACTTAGCGCAATGCATTTTCTCCTGGAAATCCGTGTTTTATCTTTTGCCTTGATGAAAACAAAGGCTTTATTTAGCTTTCGGCATTAATAATTATTGCCTTTACCGTATAAAAACCGTAACCAGAGCTGTATATCCACCGACGACAACATTCCCTCGATACGTTTATGCCTTCTGAGCTCCCAGAATAGTCCTTTTTTGGCAATTGCAGATGTTGACAAGAGCACTTTGTGTCATTTTTATACTTTTGACGGTCAATCAGAACTTCTATGAACGTCTACTCTATTAGTTTCTAGGTACGTTTTAACTATCTCCAATTCACTTCTCCAGATATTTTTTTTTTGATTTCCTTCGCTCTGAGTTATTATTTGACGCACTTTTCTGAAGGTTACTATGTGTGGTTTACACAGTTTTATACAATATCATTACAAAAATGTCATAAACACTAAGGGACACGAATTATAGCGATGGGCATCTTTTATTTTCAGCACTTACATGGTTTTTTAGGCAAAACGTGTTGCGTCCGAACATTTAGTTATTAGCAAATTAAGCAAAGTATTACTGTGATGAATTTACAGATCAGAACAAATTTAATTACTTGTAAAATAGTCATCGAAACGTTATCTAAAATGATTTTAAAACGAATTCATTTATTCTGATTGTGTGACATTATTGTTCGAACACTTAGGTTTTAGGGCTGGTATATACAAATATAAACTGAAATTTTTTTTTTCAGATCTCCATAGGATTTGTGGCGATTCTCAAAGAGAAAATGAAGCATATCAGAGACACGTCCACTTTTCCCAAATGTTACTTAGTGATCATTTTCAAGCTTCTCAAATGCCAGAACACAATCTGATAATGTGGACTCAGGGGAACCTTCCACCCAGTACTACAGACTCTCCAAGTACTTCCGGTGTTTTGTTATAGCATTAAAGAATTGGTTTTATTATCTTGTGAAGACTAACTACTTGTAAATTATTTTTTTATATTTAAATTTTAAATAGAATTTTAATAACTATTGCTTTTATTTACTTCTACTTAGTTAATTACACATAAAGCACAGGATTTGCTTCCATGTTCCAGAATGGGAAGGGTAAATTGAATAATTAATATTTCAGAGTGAGTGCGCATAAGAGAGAAAATCAGCAGTCGACTATTTTTCAATGGTATTTTAGACCCCTAAACTGTTGTATATAATAACAGATGAACTTAATAAGCGAGGGTATCCATGAAAACTATCTTATTTAAAAAAAAAAATTACCGCCAACTGTCTGGTATGTACTGCCACTAAACAGGGACATCACATTCCTAACTAAACTTAGGTTTTGTCACAAATGTGTAAATGGTTTAGAAAAGGTCCTCCTTGGCTACATAACGTTCCAGAAGTTAATTGCAGAATTCACAAATCTTTTGTTCCTCCGAAAAAAAAGTGAGATTCAATGAGCCTTACATTTTGATGTACGAAAGTTTATCTTGGGTGACTTTTTGGATATTCCTATAACTCGTACCAAGTCGAACAATAATATAGGAAATAGAGGTGATGAACTGCAAAAATGTCGGTAAGACTTATTTTTGGGGTAACAGCTTTCGTTTTCAAACTTCTCTCATCCTTTGAATAAAGTTTTGTAAGCAGGATACACTGAAATAGTTTCCTCTAGATGGACCCCCTCCATCAGAAATAAAACGATAATTAATAATTTCATATTACGCAAGGGACGAATGAACCCCTTCTTACTTGTCTTGGAGACCTCCCTACTGACTGAAAGGTTCGAACTAGATAGCACATCCCCACCAACATAAACTCATCATCTAACTCTAGTGTAATTCCGTTTTGTTCACAAGTGAATTTCATTTATGTTCGACCCACCCTCATACATAAACCAGCTTAATATTTTGTGATAAAAACCGCTAATATTCTCATATTTCCATTCAGTATTAAGGATCACTCAAACCTGTACCATTGGCATGACCAGTTAGCAGGGCAATGCGATGTTTAACCAAATGTAGTAAATGCAGCATCTAGATGTCCCTGCAGACTTCTGCGGCTGAGACTATTTAGCAGGGAGAGATGGATGTGGCAAATGTATCACTTACAAATTCTTCAGATTCAGGTCATTCAGAAAAAATGCGCTTTGTTGATGACATATAAGAAAGTAGGTACAGCATCTAGTCACGTAGATTTAAGCTGTGTTTTAATAGTACGATGACTTCCAATGTGACATGACTAAAAATATCCGTTAGATTCTGACATTGTTAAGTCCTCTAAAATTACAATCGAAAGTTATAATACTATTAATGCAATGTAATGTAAAAATATTTTGTTTATTAGATTATTTACACTAAGACCTTCCCAAAAATACTTTTAAAGCATTTTACCCTCATTTTAACTAATCCACAACAGAAATAAATCAGTATTTCGTAATGCTATATAGTATTTTCAATAATGTAAGGGATAATCAATAGGTCACCACGTCTAAAATAATAGTGAGTTTGGTTAGAATCTTAATATATAACTAAGATTAATGTAATTAAATAATTGCAGAACCACACATTAATTGTATTAATTTAATAAAAACAATTATTTACAGGCTATTTTTTTATTCATAAGTTCGAAAATTGAATATACCTTGCCTTATTTTATCCCAAAATATTCCTAATCGTGAAATGTTTGCAATGGGGTCATTCAGTAAATTTTCAAATACGTTATTTTGTATACATAAAGTATTGCTCATGATTAGGCGATCCTGAAAATTTCAACTCAATCCATCAAGTGGCTTTCAAACTATGATTTTTAAAATGCGAATATTTGTGTTGTGGCAATGCAATTACGTCACCGCATGGGACGGTTAGACGGCTCGACACTACTTTCAGATGAGCTTCTGCATCTACAGAATATTTTAACGTTTCCACATATTAAATTTAAAAAATGGAAGCAAATTTTGTAAAAGCAGATTCTTCAAATTTGCCAGAAGTATGTTTGTCAATAGTTATAAAACCACGACTTTATCAGTGCCGAGATGAGAGGAGTGAAAATGCAAAGGTTACGTTTTAATAACGTATAAAGCTTCTTTAAAGTACGTTTGTAGCGAAAGTTTTGATGTTTTTGTACAATAAGAATAGTAAATAAGAACAAAGATTTTACGTTTAATTGGACTAAACCGTTTCTGTCACACGTTTCAAAAATTTACCTAATCAAATCCAAAATTCTTATTACTATTTTTATTTTCATGAAAACTACATAATATACATATTTTCTGCATATATTTACTTTTTTTTTTTTTTTTTTCATAATGTACTACATATTTTCAACAATTTTCATACTAAGGACCCTGGATTTATCTTTTATAAAAGAAGAATAAAGATTGCTTCAATACTCTCCATATTTAACTAGAAAAAATTTCAACTATTTTTCCAGAATGACTGAAGATAGTTAAATTATAATTTGTCGTTTGTTAATATAAAATTAAATATATGTCCACTGAAATAGAGGCTAAAATTCCAGTCTTGATTAACTTTTCATTCTTGTTCCCAGATTCATTTTTGTTCTCGATTGTTGATATATGTTGTCTTGTTCTCATTACTGTTTTCGGTTTTGTTTCCTATTGCATTCAGCATTCAATTTATATCTATCAATTCTCCTCATATACAGGGTGGCCAAATGAAAACGAAACAGAGCCATTTTCCGGAACTGCGTCAAGATTGTAGAAAAACGCTCAGTCCTGTCGATTTTAGATTAAAGAGGGACATTCTTTGCTGGTATTCCGCCCAATATTTTGAAAAAAATTTACATTTTAAAATTTAAATTATGTTTAGTGAAAATTCCAGCCCATACATTTAATTTTTCCGGTTGCCGTGTATGCACCTCGTGAAAAACGCTTGGGTTTGAATCGGACCAATAGCGGCAATTGTGACGATTTACCGTCCCGTTCAAGAAAAATCTGAATTCATCAGAAAAACAGATGTTAAAAAGGAACTGTGGATGATTCCCTGCTCGCTCACTCATTATTTCGGAAAATTGCAAATGGGTCATAATCATCCTCATGAAGTTCCTGGACTAAATGTATTTTGTATGGATGGAAAGGAACTGTTCACCTTCCATTCAAAGCGCGTGAAAAATTCCCGTGAAGATGCGATTCTGTTGGATTTGTGTTGATCCTTGAGCTGTTTTGGTACCCACCTTGCACACAATTTTCGATAACCAAGTATTTCAGTGATGATTTCATGCAGAAGAGGTGGTCTGGAGATTTGTGGAAACACTGCATTCATCTCGTCCAAAGTCAATTGACGGTCACTGTGAAGCATTTTTTCGATCTTATTCACCATCTCATCAGTCACGATTGAGGGACGCCCATTCCTTTCTTCTTCATGAAGATCCGTTGCCAGCTTTATAATAACGACACTTCTTGTACATGTTAGTACGATTCATCACATCATCCCCATAAACAGTTTTGATTTCGTTAAAAAGCTGAAACCTTTCCATTTGCAAGAAGAAACCGAATCACGCCTGTCATCTCGCAGCTGGCAGGATTTGGAGAAGCGGCACTCATTTCAACATGCAACTACAACAACTGTTCTCAACTGACTGAAAGACGAGCGCGCGTTCTGCTCCCAAAAATCTTGTGCCTGAATGCAGTGATGACAACTTTGTCAAAAACAAAAATCACAGCATCAGAATCTCGGTACTTACTTTGTGGATATGCATCGGAACTTAACCTCCTCCAAAATAATTCATCATATACTAACCAAACAATTGATAAAAAGTTAAAATATTTAATTCAATATCGTTATTTTCAACAAATATGTAAATTTATAAAGTAAAATTACTTCATTGTATGTTCAAATTTTATTGTTTTCTAAAAAAACTGTCGAAATGAAAATAAAATAATTACAAAAAAGGTTTATTTGTCAAGGAATGCAAATTCAGTACAACCATATAACTTACAGCTCTAACTAAAAGTTTCATAGTATCACAGATTAGTTATATGGCTTAAATAATGAGGTTCACAATGTAAACAACCTAAACTTACTACATAAAAAATCAAAACGAAACTATTCTTTCAGATGTGTTTAAAAAAAAATAAGAACAGCGGGTTAAATTAACGTATTTGGAGTATTTAAAAAAAAATTATTACCGTATATATAAAATTAACTGTTTAAACTTAACATAACACTGTATTTAAAAACAAGTATTTTTAAATCTTTAACATCTTAAGTGCACACAAAAAAAATATTTACACATAACTCTTGGAAAAAAATTGTATTTTATATATCCGGTAATAATTGTTGATTTAACCTGCTTAAAAAAACATATATTTTATAAAAATTGTTCTTGTAATTTCATTTTTACCACTCTTCATCAGGTTCTTCAGCCGGTCGAGTATTGAAATCCTGTGCTTTTCCAAAGTCGCTCTAGAAGAAATGTTTAGATAAGACTTTTGTATAAAAGGAAATACAGATTTAATCAAAGTAAATGTTCATTAAAAAAATATATTCCGAGATCATTTGAATGATTGTTTCTAAATTAAAAAAAAATTATTGTGATAAGTCATCATCTGCTAATCATGGGCATCCCATACTATTTCTATACACTAACCAATATGAATAGGGCAAAGCAATAAACGAATAATATTGTAGGCATAAATAATTTGCTACATATATGTTAAATGCGTTTTACTAACGAGCGTTCAAATAAAAATGTGGTCAAGTTGGTTCTGAAAATTTGGACGTAGGGCGTAGCGTATAGCAAATGAACTTAAACGCCATCTGTCAAAGCGCTATATCGCCGCTATCAATTTGAATATTTTCGTTTTAAAAAGCGTTTAAAATGGTGTTTTCTCAAGAACAAAAAGTGTATATCATAGAGTCCTACTTTAGAAATGGACGCAAGATTGATGGAATATGGAAGTATTCTATTGAGGAATGTTTCATAGAATTTCAAAATCAATTTCCCGGCGTTGTTGAGTACAAAATTTTTCAAAGTGCAGTTCAGCGTTGTGTTAATGTTTTTTCGTGAAACGGGCAGTGTAACAAGAAAAGAAGGAAGCGGCCGACCTAAAAAGCGGACTGAAGAATTAAAAGAAAATGTCCAACAAATAATGGAAAATGCGCCAAGAACTTCTGTACGTGTTTTATCACAAATGGTGGGAGTATCAGTCGGTACCTGCCACACAGTGTTAAAAAAAGATTTGCGTTTGTTCTCCTATCGTTTAACTTGTCAGCAAGAACTTCATGAGTTTGATTTTCCGCGATGGGCTGTATTTTGTGAATGGTTTTTAAACAACTGAGGTGAACTTCATAATATCACCTTTTTTTCTGATGAAGCCTGGTTTCATTTAAGTGGTTACGTAAACTCACAGAATATGAGAATGTGGTCTTCTGAAAAACCAGATAACTTTTTTGTCGAGGGCCCTCTACACGCTCAAAAAATTGGAGTTTGGTGTGCTCTCAATCGAAGAAGGATTTATGGACCTATTTTTTTTAATGGTACTCTTACTGTGCAAAGGTATAGAGAAGAAATTATCGCTCCTTTTGTTAACCAGCTGGAAGAAAACGAAATTACAAACTTTTACTTTCAACAAGATGGCGCAAGGGCACATACGGCAGGCGAGACGATGAATATGTTGAGGGAAGTTTTCCAAAATCGACTAATAAGACTCAATGCTGAACATGAATTTCCACCGAGGTCCTGTGATATTACGTCGTGTGATTTATTTTTGTGGCCTTACCTTAAAAACACTATTTTTGAACTGCCTATTCCTAATTTAAACCATCTGCAGGCTCGACTTATAGACAAGATTCGTGAAATTAACAATACCCCGAGCATCTTAGAAAATGTCTTTAATTCTTTGAGGAACAGGTGTGAAAAGTGCTTGGAACAAGGAGGGGGACACTTTCAGCAGCTGCTTTAATTTATTGTTATAACAAGGAGGGGGACACTTTCCGCAGCTCCTTTAATTGTTTGTTATTGTTATCACGATTATTCTTTAAAATAAAGTTATATAGTCATTAACGTTATTGAAACTGACAGCTGCTATACAGCTCGTTGAGAAATGAGGTTAAGTTGGTCGCTATAAGCTACTCCCTACGTCCAATGTGTCAGAGCCAACTTCGACCACGTTTTTATTTGAACGCTCGTTATAAAAACATGTTGCTTATGCCCGAGTGTTTGTTATTTATATGCCAAATATACAAAAATTCTTTTAATAAAATGTTTTGACTTGATCATTTATTATTGTACTTTATGATTTTCCTAAATGAGTGGCAACGTCGCCAACCTGGCGAGCCATGTGTTCTAGCTATCTTTTATTAACTCGTTTTATGGGCATACATTTCTCTTTGTTGCTGGCTCACTACCGGCAGTTCAGTGAAATCCTTTTAACGGCATGGTCGTCGGTATAGGTAAATTCGAGCTTATTTTTTATTGTTAGTTTTATTAACGGCCTATCTCTGCGGTGGTAAAGTGAAATAAATTATTCAACGATGGAAGGTGTGCCAGAACCGTCATCATCGACAGGTGCAAAAAGGACGGCCACTCAAACAGTAAGTGAAAAGAAAATTATTTTACATGTATTTCATTGCTTGCAAAGAGATCACCCAGGATGTTCAAAACAAGAATTAACAGATATGTGCACAGATTATACAGGAACTTCAAAAGTTAATGTATATAAAATTCTTAGAGAACAAAAAGTGCATGGAGAAGTACTACCACCAAAACCTAAAAGCGAAAGAAATAGAAGTTGACGAAGATGCGAAATATGCCAAAAGAACTTGTCCATACTTTTTTTTATGAAAAATGAATAAACACATTACACAAAGTGATGTCAGCTGTTAGATAAAACGACATAATCCCCAAAATGAGTAAGGAAATATTGCGGAAAGTGTTGCGTGGTATGAATTTTACTTATAGGAAAATAGATCGGACGAGTATTCTTATTGAGAAACATGAAATATGTTGGAGAAGAGAATATCTCAGAAAAATTAAAGATTTTCGGAAGCAAGGAAAGAAAATTTATTATACAGATGAAACATGGGTCAACGAGGGACACACGGTGAAAAAAGTATGGCAGGATGAAACGTGAAAATTGAACGGCAAGCAGCTATTGAAGGCTGGTCAACGGGCTTAAAAATGCCATCTGGAAAAGGTTGCCGTTTGATAATTACCCATATAGGAAGTGAAGACGAATTTGTGTTAAATTGTGAATTAATATTTCAATCAAAGAAAATGGGGGACAATCACAAAGAGATGAATGCATAGGTGTACGAGAAGTGGTTTGGACAAATTATTGAAAATTTGAAACCAGGATCTGTCGTCGTTATGGATAATCCCCTTACCATAGTCGAAAATGCGAATTAACACCACAACAGTCATGGAGGAACGCAAGGATTCAAGAATGGTTACGGGAAAAAGGTGTTCCTTATGATGAAATCAGCTTAAAAGCAGAATTGCTTCAGCTTGTGAAACTACATGCCCATAAATATAAGAAACTTGCTGTGAATGAATTGGCACTAAGCCATGGAATCACCGTACTAAGATTGCCCCCCTGTCATTGTGAACTAAACCCAATCGAGTTAATTTGGACACAAGTTAAAGGGGAAGTGGCTCGAGAAAATAGATCGTTTAAATTGGCTGATGTTCAACGCCATCTTAAGAAAGCACTAGAAAACATTACAACAGAAGACTGGGGAAAGTGTATTAATCACGCTGAAAGAGGAAAAGAAAATGTGGGGTGTAGATAATATGGTTGAAGTCATCGATCCTTTTATTATCCATGTCGGTAATAGTGATAGTGATGATAGATAGTGGAGTACTGGAAACTGACTGGGTGATTATTTTTAAATGCAGTATTATTTTTGGAATTGTTATGATTTTTTTTCAATATTATTTGTGTTATTACTAGAAGAAACTTTTATTTTATTGTTATATTATTATATCTGCATTTATTTTAATGTGGAATCTTCACATTTTTTTCATGATTATTTGTTATTTGAAAAATTTTTTATTTTGTTAATGTTAGAATGTTGTTTACTAGAGAATTGTTAATTTAACGTGGAAAATAGGGCTACTGGCAAACTACCCACTATAAAAAAATGGTAACACACCATAAGCAATACTTCATGAGTGGTGTGGGAACTTGCTTTTGTTTATAACATTCTCTCATAATGTCGTTTAGTAGATTTTTAAAAATATCCATCATATTAAAGGATAACACTACTGTTCTTGACCCCTTCAGAAAAGTAAATCGTCCCCGTATATGTTTTAGACCAATACTCCTAAATTTGTTGGACTTCGTCCTATTCAAACACATTGGTTAGAGTTCCATCTTCCATCATCCTGTTTCAGTGATTTGCCACCTATGGAGAATATCACAGGACTTTTGACAGAAGTTTTTGATGACAAATTTGCATTGAGGCCTGTGTTTCTGCTTACCAACTCATCATTTTCAAATTAATATAATTAAAAGTAATGTCATATTCTATTTTGCAGGTAAAAAGGTAGACTGTTACTAATGTTTCCTCAAAAATGTTAATGGAATGCAAAATATTTAGAACTACTTTGCACAGACTAGGTAATGCAATTTTGTGTATTTTAAAGTTCTGACGATTACATATGACCATACATTTATGTTTCCAGATAAGTAGTTGCAATGGAGTTGCCACACTACAAATTTGTCAAGAGAATGAAGTAAAAATTTACAGAATTCTTTATTGAAACAGGAATTTTTTCGAGGTGGAGCACAACCACACTCACAAAGCGCTACAGGAGTGCTTATTGTCACTTGTGAGAATACGTGCAATAGTTAGCTATTATAAAGATCAGATTGAGTCTCGGATCAATCCAAAAAGAAAAGGATGAAGAAAATATCAATATGGAAAGCCAATTACATGGTGTACGTATCGCTAATTGAAGGTATATAACGAATTTCTTATGCCGAATGGCAACAAAAGCTTTTGGAGAAACCACTTTTTTTTAACTGGCCGGAAACCTAAATAACTCAAAAAGTCTTCAAGGAATATTGTAGAGGTTTTTCGATTAACAATTTTCATTGTTATTAACAACTTAATGCATAATTTTTCGTCTTTTCGATAAATTGATTTTAAAATGTTCACTAAATCAACAATTATTATTTTTTTATTTCCCTAGTTCTAAGACCATCTGCTAATAAAAAACCTTTTCGGCCATGTAGCACTCTGAGCAGGTGTCATTGCTTGCCATCACCTTCAGTCGCCATTTTACTCAATCTTATGTTCCTTCTTGTATTTTTTGATATTTTAAAATAAAATTTGTACTTACTCCACGAATATCACGACCTCCAAAACTATCGGCATGTCCTCCACCAGAGAACCCTCCACTACTAAGCCAGTCAGGTACGCTTTGGCCGGCTTGTTTTAATATCTTAGATAGACTTCCTGCTAAACTGGAATCGTGAGCGGGATCAAAGAAACTTGTAGCTTTTCCTCTATTTCCTAGCGACAGAAACAAAATTTAATTTAAATAATACTCATGGAAGATTTTTTGTTGAAATTACTATGAATTTAGATATATAAATTAATCTATATATTTTAGATCTTGATCTTGTCAATTTTATTAAATAAATAATAAATGTCACTGAAAATAAGTACAGTAGAACCTCGATTATCCGTGCCTGTCGGGACCGGGATTTACCCGGAAAATTGAAAACACGGATAATCCGCATATCTTATTTTTATATAAAATGGGGGGATCAAAAATTAACAAAACATACTTAACATAAAAAAGTTTCTTCTAGGCATACACATGTTCACATGTACATATATATTTGCATATTACAATTCAGAGAACAGTACATACATAACATCAGTTAAAAGTCGGTATGTACATAGGTACATTATGTACAAAAATATAAAAAAACTGAAATATACTTCTAATACAGGTTATTGTTCAAAGGATTTTAAATATATAATTTATTGCTTTTCGTTACTACATAGTGAAAAAATCTGTAAGTTTTGTTTGCACTTTTTTTTCAAACAAGTTTGATTTTATAGTTTCCTTAATTTTTCTTAAATTTAGTAAAATGCTGACATCAACTTCTTTTTGCTGCTCAAAATACCACCTCTTCCTCACCACTATTTTCTTCCTCAACGTCATCCACCCTAATATCTGTTGTTTCATGTTGTGTCACATTTTTACCAATCATTTCTTCTTCTGTCATTTTCTGATAACCTAAATCATTTTGATCACACCCTAACCATTCCTCAATTTCAGCCTCTTCTATTCCATTTAATTCATCTACTTGTTGTGCTATCGTTTGTATGGCGTTGCTAGATAATTCTGGTACAAGAGTAAATTCTTCTGCCTCACTTTCATCGACAGTCATTATTTTCGAAAATGCCCATGCTATATGTGTATTTTTCACACCATCCCAAGCCCTAGAAATGGCATATATAGCATCCTTAATATTTAATTTTTTCCGAAAGCTCTTGAGATCAATATCTGTCAACAAGTTCATCATTAAGTCTTTTCTGTAGAGGCACTTCATTGATTCTATTACCCCTTGGTCCATAGGCTGGGCAATGGATGTGACATTTGGTGGAAAGAAAAAGATGGAAATATTACCATCACTTGACTTCAATATGTTGATGCTTGGATGTGATGGTGCATTATCCAATAGGAGGATTGCCTTTGGGGGTAAATTATTGTGTGTAAGAAACATACGAACTTAAGGCACAAATTGTTTAAAAAACCAATCTTTAAAAATGTCAGTGTTTATCCATCCGGCACTTTGACTGTAATATTTAACTGGCAACGTACTTTGGTCTACATTTTTGAAAACTCGCGGATTTTTTGACTTTCCAACCACAGCTAGTTTTAATTTGTGCTTACCATTCGCACAGCATAAAACTGTTATTCTGTCTTTGTTTGCCTTGTATCCTGGTGCACTAGTCTCTGTTCCCACAGCTAAGGTTATTGTAGGCATTGCACGCCAGTACAAGCCCGTTTCGTCGGCGTTATATATTTGATCCAATCTTAGATCATTATCTTTAATGATTTTTTCTAGATCATAGCAGAATTCTACAATTCCAACCTCATTTGCACTTAATTTCTCACCTTGAATCGCCAATTCTCGAATTCCATGGCGCTTTTTAAATCGATGTAGCCAGCCCGCTGATGCACTGAAGGTTCCTCCCATATTTAATTGTTTGTAAAATATTTCAGCTTGCCGTGTGCATATTGGGCCTGACAGCGGAACTCCCTCCACTCTTTTTTGTAAAAACCATTTTGCCATTGCCTCATCTAATTCCTTATACGTTGAACTCTTCGTACTTTTGCGCATATTAGCATTGGTAAAGCTATCGCTATTACAAACAAACCGCTCAAACTTAGATTTATTCTTAATAATGTCTCAAACTGTTTGTATTCCTATTGAGTAAGATTTCGCCAAATTTGTTGCAGTTTCACCTTGCTTGTGTTTTCTTATGAGTTCAAGCTTTTGTTGTATAGTTAAAACATTTTGTTTGCGTTTTATCGGTCCCATTATTAAACATACATGTACACATCAATGTTAACTGCAGATGACTGCATTCGAATTTCGAGTCACGCATGAAATATTTATCCATTTGGTTAGATAGGACTTCTAGTACACCGCTCGACGGTGTTCGGTTATTTTCGTAGTTTACACGGAAAATCGGAACACGGATAATTGAAACAAAAATTGTCACAGTTAATCCGCAGCACTAATAATCCGCAGCCGGATAATCGGAGTTCTACTGTAATTCATAAAATATGAAAATATGTAAACAAAGCGGTTACGGCAGCGTATGTGTATGTTCAATTTGTTTGTGATAAAGCTATAAGTATTTGACTTCTATTTGTTATAAAAATGTAATAAAAATGAATAAATAAATAATTAAAAAGGCTTGTGACAATTGTATTTATATTCGTAGATTTCATTCGTAAAAATGCCCAAAGCCAAACATTATAACCTCCAAACTACGAAGAATGAGAAACTTGTGACGATGCCATTGCGTTTCTGTCGAACTCTTTATTTATTTTTTTATTCATAAACGAATCAGATGATCGTCGCAAAACTTGGTATACATTAAATTAATAACATTATCTGTGACATATAAAAAAATTGGCGAAATTCATTGGGCCAATTTTCTTAAAACTGAGTTTTTGTCAGTTTTCCCATAAGCGACCGTGTTAAAATGAGTGAACTTTGAAATTCAATATCTCAAAAACGAAACAGATGAACCTCTTGAAATTTTGACAGGTTTATTGTAACAACAATAAGAACGTCTGGTCAAAATTTCAAAAAAATTCATTGGAGGGTTTTATCTCTACCGAACGTCCTTAAACCTGAGATATACAGTACTTTGCTGGTAGTGAACGTATAAGAGAGAATGGTCACTAGAAACTAAAACAATTGGGTGTAAAATTGATTTCTACCAGTAGTTTCGACAAAGTAAATAAATGAATGAATGAATTCAATGAAAATTTAAATCAATCAATCAATCGAATATCGAATCAAAGGATGTTATTGTATATCCATTACGTACAGCGTGTCTCCGTTTAGATGAAATGACTCTTGCAATAAATAAAAGATTTATTCAATCCCGATTGTTTGTGAAACGAAATCTGTCCTAATTCCAAACCTGCTAAAACCAGTAACACTTGGAAATTTAGAAAAATCCGATTTTATTCACAAGACAAGTTACCATCTTCTGTATGAGACCACAAATCGTTATAACAGAACAAATCGATTAGTCATGTGCAGATTATCTGTGGGTCGGTTAAACATTTGTTACTAACCGCCACACCTACAAACACACAATGTTTTTATACCTTTCTCTTCATTCGGATGTGTATATATTAGGTTAATTTATTAATGCATGATGCTGCAACTATTCACATGTTGCATTTTGAAGGTGCAACAACGATATGTATTTTTGTGTATTTCATTTATCAATATTTATTTATTACCGTTTTGTGTTAGATTACTTATTACGTAGTTTCATAGGATTTAAAAGAATTAAATTTTGATTATAAGGTATGATAGAGCTCCTGGCGAACATCCATTTAATAAAAATAATGGATGATGGTTTGGAAATTTCTTAATAATATTCTCCACCTTTCCGATAAATTATGAGATTTGACAACAATACATACCACAGTTCCGAAGTGTGTATGTGCGACAACAAAAGTGTGCTGTTGTTTGAGGACAACTAGTTTTTACAGCGGCAGGGTATAAAAATTACGAAAAAAGGTTAAAAAAAATCTGTTATCATGACGGAATTAGAGAAAACAATCTTATATGTGTCTCTAAATGTTAAATGTATCCTCCATAATAAGACCCCCCCCCTATTCGATGTTACACCCTGTATATTAAATGAGTCAGTTGAGCTGAAACGAGTTGTGTATGTTGGTCGTACATTGTTCTGCAAGTATAAACATTGTGAATACATATTTCCTTCTATGAAAACTATCTTCTATTAACTAACCTTATTAAAAAATTCTCTAATTAATGAAAAAATATATATACGCACCGACTCTTCCAGTACGCCCAATTCGATGGACATATTCATCAATACTGTTTGGCAAATCGTAATTAATAACGTGCTGTATTCCTTCAATATCAAGGCCCCTAGCAGCCACTCCAGTAGCTACCAAAATATTACACATGCCTTTTTTGAAATCCCATAGTGCTTGCTCACGTTCCCTTTGTAAGCGATCACCATGAATACTAGTAGTTTTTATGTCATTCTCACTCAATAGAGTTGCCAGAAAATCAGCATTTCTTTTTGTTTCCACAAATACAACAGTTCGTTCAGAACTTTGTCCTAAAAATAAAATATTAAATAAATTAAGAGGTTTTTGCAGAACTATTTATTACATACCTTCCTGAAGCATTTTGATTAATTTATCTCTCTTATCAAACCTACTGACTTGATAAAAAATTTGTTCTACGTCAGTAGAGGCACTACCAACAATTCCAACAGCCACAAAGATATAGTTGTGCAAAAATTTTCCAGCCAAATGTTGGATTTCTTCTGGAAATGTTGCGGAAAACATAAGCGTTTGACGTTCACCCTAAATAGATTACAATCAATTTAAAATCTGTGGTGATTTACATGCAAAAACATAAATTCATAAAAATAGATAAATAAGTTTGGTGCAGAATTAAAAAAAATATATGGAAATCTTGGAAAATAAGCAAACTGAACAAATGATTGATGATTAAGTAATAAAATTTTAACAAAAGTCGTTAGAGTTTGGAACACGTAACTCTTATCAGGCTCTCTTCCAGTTATGTTTCAGTTGTTTGCGAGATACTATTCATGGTGATCCGTTGGTGAAAAAATGAAAATATCATTGGTGTACATATATTGCAATTTCTTCAAGTTAACAGGGGGTGTAGCCCAGAGGAAAAGTAAAATTTCTACACTACTGATTATTTTTTTGCACTTTTCATGATTGCATATGTAAAATAGTATTTCTAGAAAAAAAATTAAAAATAGTTTTTCGAATAGAATTGGAATATATTTTTTTAGAAATATATTTAGAAATTAACAACAATGATCAAGCATCCAAAATACCTAGTGACACCAAATTTCTGGAGCTCTTAATTATAATGACTTCTAGTAATTTATCCACTGGTTGGTTTATATTCGAATTCAGCAATTTCTTTAATAAAAACAATAAATTAGTCCAAATCTCATTAGGGGCCATCCATTAACCACGTGAGGTTCAAATAGGAGAAGGGGAGGCTTTGAATAACATCACTATTGTTCGCAATGGGGGAGGGGCGATTGTTGTTACATATCACGTGTATATTTTCACGTAACCATGCCCGAGACTGCCTTGCTGTGATCTGCGATATGACATCACGATAAGTAACGCGGGGTAGCTTACTACCTTACCACATATCACCAGGGGGGAAGGAGGGTGTAAAAAAGTGGCCTAAAAACCTCACGTGATTAATGGACGACCCCTTACTCAACGATGATAAACTTTAGATATCTTGAAAATTAAGTTTTTCCAGACACATATTTATTTATGGATGTCCATGTATGAAATATATAAGTAAAGTTTGACCCCCCCCCATTTTTGTAAAAATATCTTGTGAACAATTAATTTATGTATCAGATGAAATTGGATTATAAATTCAATTTCTGATGAGTTTTTAGAAAATCACTGTTATTAGATGACAAAGAAATTCAAATAAGGCAAAAAAAAATAATTATTTAATGATGAGACGTCAAACTTCGCTGATAATCCACTAAAAATTAAATTGACTTTGACCTCATTTGATGCAAAAAATTTCTTGTATACAAGATTTAATAGAAAGTGTTTCTGGAAAAAGAATGAATATTTTGATACAATCTAAGAAAACTAAATAAAAAATTTAGTTTTTAGAGATTTTTCGTATTTATTTCAGCAAGGAAAGCATTTGTGATCTTATCTTAATAAGAACTTTTTTGTTCAACATAAAATTTGTTATAGCCTTCATAAATGTTTACAAGCCACGTGATCGCCTAACTTAGGCAACCCAACATTGCAGGACTGATATTGGTAACAAAAAATCCGTAAATCTTAGTCGTCATCAATATTAATGATTCATTTACAATAAACAGTAAGCTACCACTGCGTCTACACTTGAGATAATCTGATCGCTGGTTTTTTTAATAGAATCTCATAAAAAATTACACCAATCACAGCCAGTGAATTCTTTTAATATAATTTTAATCTTATCGGTTTAATAATTTTTAATTTGACCAAAATTTAATTGCTAATATGAAAGAAATAATATGACTGTTCCGTACAAAATTACTAGTCATGTGGCTTGTAATCATTTAAGAAGGCTCTGTACATTTTGTATGAGGGCAGAATAGGTCAATCAAACATCTTTTCTAGAATGTTATTTGTCATTAAATTTCACAATTTTGCTCCAATTTGACCAACACTGCATTACTTAAGATAACGGAAATTTCAAAAAACTAGCGCCTGTATAGTTCGTGCCTTAACTTCCGCTGTACTGTTCTTTATAAACAGTAATCATTGAACAGTCATTTTCCTTGTACGAATTTACATTAACTCGACAACGGTACGTGTCCTGTATAACCGGTAATGTCTATATTAAATATAACCCAGGTTGAAAAATTGATAAACATTTTGAACTTACTGGGAAAATATTAGGTATGTGATGAATTTTAAGGACCCCTATCGCCATTTGAAAATTATAGGCTTAACAGTTGCGAAGTAACCCAAACAAATATGTATATTAAACAGTTGGTAAGTTCCAGTTTCGTTGTCAGTAATTCCTGCTGTGGGTGTACACATGTTGCAAGTGACCCATTTTTAAATATGTCAATAGCGCCATCCTGACGCCACCCCAGATGCACCAGGGTTCCCGGAAGACGATCCCGGCAGATTGGCGCCAAGGACCAGGTACTTCTGCTAGCGACTCCACACAAATAGGGAACCGACAACATGTCTTTTTCACAAACTTTGTTTTCAATAAAAATACTTTATTTTTATCGTTGAGAGAGCGTTTTATTTTTGCTGTACAACGAAAGTAACCCTCAAGTGGTGACCCCGACGTGATCTTTGTCTATCTACATGGCCATCTATAAGGGCTTGATTGTTGAAGGCAAGACAATCTTGTCATACCTAGTTCCGAAGTTTCCAATTAGGAAATAAAATTAAGAAGTGTTTCATTTATTTCGTGTTTTATACAGGGTGGTCCAAATTTTATGAAGGAAACTTCGAGGGTAGATAGATCTCTTTAAAATAATATGTGTTTGCCTTATAAACATAGGTCTGGAACGGCCCCGTTTTAGAGATACAGGGTGTTGAGGTTTTAAAAAAAAATTGCTTTTTTGTTTATATCGCACACTACCTCACAGGTGGTGTAGAAAGGAGTGTAAATAATTTTGTTGATGTGCTTACAAATTGCACTTACTTTTAAATATAAACAAATATTCTTGTAATATTATTGTTAGAAGTGTCTGCCACAAGGGGATTGTATTGGTATGAATAACTTGAGAACGGCGAATCTTAGGGAAAAAAATTAGTCACCATTTTTACGTATTTTGTGCATTAAAATATAAATCAGTTACAATGACATGTAAAAAATGCAGAGGCGTAGGTTTTTTTCTAAAAAAGAGGGTGACCCCTGTCCAGTTGTACACCACTGGTTGAACCTTTAAAGCTCATAATTCAGGGAATATAAGGCCTATCATACATTATATGTACCAAATTTTTTTAATATCGGTTAATAGATTCCGGATATAAATAAAAAAATCAATTTTTTTTGACAACTTCAACACAGACCTATGTTTATAAGGCAAACACATATTTTAAAGAGACCTATCTGCCCTCGAAGTTTCCTGCATAAAATTCGGACCACCCTGGCCTGTATATGAAATGTAATAAACTGATTTGAAAAGAAAAGTTTTATGTTTCGTCTTCTTTATAATTTAATTATTATTTTATTGCATTACAATAATAATTTTTATTATTGAAGGAAATTTCTAGACAGTTGGCACTGCTGCAATAGACAAAATAGACAATAGATGTTACTGATGTGCATCTCCAGGTCACGACTCTTTGAGATAATTTCATTTACATTTTAAGCACTCCTTGTGGAAGGCTTAAGTTATTCATATCACGCGCTTATGAAAATCCCCAATACACACGTCAAACTTCGATTCATCACTGAAAATTATTTGAGCTCAGTCTTCACTTGTCCGAATAGTTTTCAATTTAACTCGATGAGTTCCGTCACCAAGAATTTTTCTCTTGCCTTAATAAAATAAAGTATTTAACTATCCACGTAAGTATTTATTGCCTCTAAGGGTACTTTACCTTGTAAAAACTGCAACCAGAGTTGTGTATCTACTGACGACAACATTGCCTCGATAAGTTAATGTCTGTTTCTTGGTTTCACACCAAGGTAACTTCTCTAACAGTAGCCCTTCTTTGGTTCTTGCAGATGTTAACAAGTCTTTGTACCTTTTTATCACAATCGATGGTCAACCAAAACTGTTTGCACGAACGTCTACACTATCAGTTTGTTGGTATGTTTTAAGGCGTTAGTCTGGGATCTTTTCGTCAAAAAATCGATTTTCTAAATACTGCAGATTATTGTAGTAAATATACATAAAAATACCGTAAAAACCATTATTTAGGTTGAAAAATTCGAAAACAGGTTGAAAAATGCAAAAAGAGTAGGGATGCACTGAGCGCTCACCTACCATGTACAGCGTGTAGTTGCCGATAAGCGCGCTTCTAAGAAGCACGGGTGACCATACTTAGGCATGGTGATTGTGGGCGAGACTATTTTTTTGTAAAAACGTTATATAAACTTTAAACGAGTTTTTCTCAAACATTTCTCGACCTGACAAAAAAAATTTTTTGTAAAATCCTTAGTTTCTGAGAAAAAAATTTATTGAATTTGTAGTATTTTAAAGCTTTAAATAGCTGGGCTACTGTAGTCTCTAGCGTCACTCGTGTTGTGCGCTGTACGCAATTCGGTCTCTCTCCACATGGCCCCAGGCATTTTCAAATACTGAAATCCGATTTTAGTAGCTATTACATTACTTTTCCCAGTGTAAAAAATGGGTTACTTGTATGGCAACTCAGAGTTGATGGATATCGTTTTAATTCGTAGAAATTGTTTAAGACTGGTCTAAATGTGTTTACACGTCGGCGGACAAAATTTTGAAAGTATGCCTAATTATTTTATTAAGTAAAACCACAAATTAATTTCATTAATTAATAATAACAATAGCGGCAAAAGCAGTTGAATTTGCTGATATACAATAGGTGTTATAAAATTCTATTTATTTGTTTAATTTCAAGTTTTTGTCCCCTTTTTATTACACTTCGCCTTGTGTAAGGTCAGGTTTTACAGTGGACCAGTTTCCAGTGCCGTGCAGAAGTGTATTTTTAAATCATTTTCGAACTGCCCTTTTTGATTTTTCTTTTTACAAATTTGTATTTGTAAGAGCCCTGTACATCCAAATTTTTTTTTTGGAAATGTTCTGAATCACCCTGTATATCTATATTCTGAAGTGGCATTATAATTATTCATTAACATTTAATACTATTTTTAAACAATTTTAGTTGAAAAAAAAAGGTAAAAATTTCAAATGTTCGTCATTTTGTTTTTTTTTATTATTGCAAGTGTATAATTTCAGTCTGGACGATAAGAAATCTACTTTTTTATAACTTGAATTTTTGTTTACAGATGATCCGAGGTTGAAATATCATATCGGCCAGCAGAAAACGGGGCTAACTTCAGGTGGCCGTATCAAAAAGATTTATGAAAAAAAAATTTTTTTTTTGTATAACTTTAAAGTATGTATTTTAATATGTAAAAGACATTTAAAAATAAATTTTACTATCCAAAAAATTTTCTTGAAAAGTCATCGAGATCCTCGACAAACATTACATCTCCAAATGTAAATTTTGGCATATTCCCTTCGTCAACAATTTTTTCCATCGATTTCCCTCTCTCTAATTGTTGACTGCACACCCTTTTATTGGAGATTACTAAGCCGCACACATAGTTTTGTACAATATTGTTGCGAAACGTCAAAAACTGACACAAATTATAGCAGTGGACATTTTTTATTTTCAGCCCTTCCTTGGTTTTTGAGGCAAAAAGTTCTGTGTGAACATTTAGTTGTCAGCAAATTAAGCAAAATTTTACTATTAACGGTTTAAAGACCAGAACTAATTTAATTCACTAAAATAATCATGAAATGTTAGCTAAAATCTTTGTAAAATGAAAATGCTGATCTAGAATATGTTAGGTTGTGAAACATTATGAACTGTTATTGTGCCAAAATTATCACTCGTCCGAACATTTAATTGTTAGAACTCGTATTATACTACAGTGTTGCAATTATACTTTTTGTGAACATGTTCGTCTTTACATTAGTAAACCGAGTCCTGTTCCGAGTTGCATAATTCCGAACTCTACTGTTCATCTCCTATCTGCACAAAAAAGCTTTAATAATTTTTACCGGTTCGATAGCGATTATAAAATATTTACATCAAACCCAAAGTTGAAGAATAAATTTACTGTAAATATACTTACAAAATTCTAATCCACACGATAACATCCAAAGTTAAAAAATGTTATTAAATGAAAATTGTCGGTATTCAATAAATACTTACAGTCGCAACCATAGTCGAATCACCCAACATTTGCTCTACTGTTGGTAGAAAACCCATATCTAACATTCTATCAGCCTCATCTAGTACGAAAAACTTAACAGATGCAAAAGAAACATGTCCTCGTTTTACAAAATCATTCAACCTTCCTGGTGTTGCAACTAGAATGTGGCAGCCGCTCTAAAACATTTGATAAAAATAAATTAAATTCTGCATATTACCGTAAATTTATTCTTACCAGGACATGATTTTTCTGATAATTTACAGAGACTCCCCCATAAGCTACTACCGTTTTGATGATTGAGTTATAAGCAAACTTCTTAGCCTGTTCAAATATTTGTATAGCCAACTCCCTTGTCGGGGAAACTATAATAACACGAGGTTGACAGCTATTGCCGTCGGTTACAGGTGGTTCTTGACTAGCTAGTAACATGTTGATCATCGGCAAGAGGAAAGCAGCCTGAAAAAAACAGAAAATTTGCTTCTTCGGCTAGTATTCACCATTTTACAGAAGGAATCTATATTCTATACAGTTAAATTTCAGTGTTTATCATTCCAATTACAAATTACTCACAGTTTTTCCAGATCCCGTTTGAGCACAGCCCATCAGATCTCTACCACCGAGAATTATTGGGATCGCATATTTCTGTATTGGTGTTGGTTTTGTGTAACCAGATTTTTTTATATTCTCTAATAAGTGAGGTCTTAAACCTGAACTCTCAAAGGTTGAAATTGATTGTGGAATATCTTCACCACTCACCTACGAGTCCAACATTAGAATATAAATTTAATAAAAAGGATATTTTAAGGTCTCAAATGTAATTTTGTTGTCACATATATACAGGTGTGCCATTTAATATTCTCCTGGCATTTCCTTAGAATCTGAGACGTATTTAAAAAAAGTACTAGCCATAACAAAGAAGGAAGACAGGAAAGGGTTTAACAAAGCATAAAATAATTGTTTTAATTTCATATTTGTAGTGTCAAAGTTTTGCAAAGTTTTCAATAAAATGATAATAAAAAGAATAAATAAATAAAATAATGAGGGTAGTTTTTAATAAATTCTGAAAAATTTTTGCCTTTCATTTGTTTCATAAACTCAACTAATAGTTACAATTTTTTTCTGATAAGATTAACAGCTACTGCACAATTAATCAAGAATGGAGACAAAAATGAGAACCAGTTGAGTATCTCTGTCACCGAAAAGAAAAAAATTATATAAACTATCCTTTTACCACAAGGATCAGTCAAGGGGTTGATTTTATACACAATTATCATTGTAACACATTAAACAGTTAACGTTTTGAAAAGCTCTGTTTTCATTGTCAAAATTTTCTTTATAAAATCGTTTATCTACATTTTATGGACATATAATAATTAATTGTTATTATTTACCTTGTCACTGAGAATATTCAACCAGCAACTATCAAAATTTAAGAAATTATTTGAAGAGTATTTATCGGAAGTAAGTGCCATAGTTAGGTGTAAGGGTCGTATGACACTATGCTAAAGTTAGAACTAATTTCAGTAATTAACTAAGAACTTTTTAATCTTGCATAGTATCATACAGGAACTGCAACAATTTCTGTTGCAATTTGTGTATGATACCATGCAAGATTAAAAAGTTCTAAGTTAATTACTGAAATTAGTTCTAATTTTAGCATAGTGTCATACGACCCTAAGCAATGTGAAAATTATGTAAATATCAATACAAAAAACTTAATCGGGTGTAGTGATTAAGTTCAAACAATTGCAAATTACAGATAATATGATTTCTATTTCCATCCATTTGTGCTATAACTTTAAACATAATAACACATCCTTAATCAAAGATTAGGAAGGGAAAAGTTCAGAAGCACTCCAACTACAGAAGTAGTTCAAAAAAGGTGGCACCATCTATATTTGCCAGTTTGTGCTGATGAAAATATAAAGGTACCCTTCACAAAATGGCTCTCAGTTGTTAAATTCTGAACTGCATTTTTTATTTTTTTTTATTTCTCTATTTGTATTCAAATATCATACTGTATACAGCGCTATCCAAAAAGTTTGCACCATATGGGAAAAAACTTTATGTATAAGTTTAATAAATTCTTTCGAGCGTCAGTTGTCTCTGCATGTCATCAAATTAAAATAGCGCCTATCGCACCTCTTCTCTATCTTATTCGTTAATAATAATGTGACAAACTGGATATGGTCATTTTGGTATAATCTAATCAGAATGACCACCTAATAGATCAATACTGAATCAAGGAAATTTAAAGACTAGTCGCCATGATCTGGAATTATAGAACATTTCTTCCTTGTTTTCATTATGTAAAGTTTATAATGTGCTCCGTTTTATCGAACCTCAGTCTGAATTGTTAGTGTGTTATTAAAGTATATACTAAAAATATTATAGTTTTATTATAACAAGTTATATGATATTAATTAAATATTGGTAATTTCAATAGAATAAAAATACCTGAAATGTTTTAAAATCTGCATAAAAGTTAAATATACATATTTAAACTTTATTCTGCAAAGTTAATTTAAGAACATCAATGAGAATATTAAAGAATACACCCTTTTTATAAAAAAATATTGTAACTCTATTACTTACATTTACTTCAATTTCATCCAGTTTTATAAAGTTTATGCCAGAGGTAATGGTACTTTGGAAAAGTTCTTCATCGGTAGACCTTTCGGGAGGTATATATATTTCCCGTTTTACTTCCTCTCCATTTTCGCCTTTGCCGCCAGTAGCATCATTATTGGACCTATTATCAAAATCGTTTTCTCCACTTCTTCCGCCACCTCTGCCTCTTCCACGGCCACCTCCACGACCACCTCTACCGCGACCACGTCCTGAATAAAATTTAATTTTAAATTAAAATTTTCTATTTTCAATCAGTTATAATATTACCTCGGCCACCATCGTCTCCGGAACCAAATTTGTTTCCAGAATCTCCCCATTCATCATTAAAACCATCATTACCATTTCCTTTATCTTCACCCCATCCATTATCATTACTTCTGCCATTTTCGCTTCTAAAACCTCCTCGTCCTATACACACACAAAAAAAAAAGAAAAACTTATTCTTAGTCTGGAAAATGGTGTATATTGTCTATAATATCGAATAAGGCTTTTTTAAGTCATTTAAGATGCTCTTTCAGAGAAAAGAATTATTGTTCCAAAAATGTCATTTTTTTTAGATAAAAACCCTCAGTTTTCCCCTGCATCTATCTCTGCCACTGCAAATACAGAAAAAAAAAATTCCCCATAAGCTTATTGCAATAATTTAATTTGAGTTTGATCAACTACTTTGGAGTTACCTAAAAATGTGTTTATGGCAATACATCTTCTACACTTTGTAACTTTTTTACCAAACATTTTCAGTCACATGTTCACAAGAAACTTGTGTACATAAAATAACATCCTATCTCCTATTTCCGGTTTGGCACTTTTATAAACAAATGAGTTACAGCGCAAATAAACAATGCTAATCCTAGTTTTTTCATTACATTTCATGATTTATATCGAAATAAATAAAATAGACCCCCCGAGTTTGGAAACCGATATTAAGAAAACATAGGGGCGAAAAAATTTGAAATTTGGGCCATGTATAGACTCACTCTATTATGTTAAAATTTCAGCTAATTTCGTTATTTTTTAGTTACTAATGAAAATGTTGAAAAAATCACGGTTTTCTGCCTACAAAATTAATATCTCTCACTTTAACTCGTAATTTTTTTGTTCTGTGTGCAAAGATTGTGATAAGAGTTGTAGGATTATTTGTTTATATATTAATCTTTCAACTGAATCAATCCTAAATTGGTTAATAATCAATTAAAAAAAGTCTAGGAGTAGATGACCACAGCCTGAAATTTACGAAAAATATGTAATAGACATAAGACCTATATCTACATATGTTAGTAAACTGCAAATGTTGTAATAATGCCCTTCCTTGTGGCATTCCAATGAAAGAAAAAGCAAGATTAAAAAATGTTATGTAAGCTGTTACAGCACAGAAAGTGTCGCAAAAACCTTTCAACTGAATCAATCCCAAATTGGCTAATAATCAATTAAAAAAAAAGCCTAGGAGTGGATGACGACAGCCTGAAATTTACGAAAAATATGTAATAGATATTTACTACAAGCACTCTGCAAGCAATATGAAAACTTCTTTGAGTTATTTTAAGACAAAAAGTTTATCAATTCACAAATCAACAGTTTTTTTCATTTAGATTGTGCTGAAATTAAGAAAAAGAATTTCACATTTTTTAAAACACCTTTGAAGATATTTGATGAATAAATGGGCCAATTACACAGCGTCACAAAAAAAAATGAGCCGTGGACCAGACCAGTATTATACAGTAGTATTTTGACCCGCCGAGTCTGAATCTAAAGTCAGAATTAGTTCGTATTTTGACCCCAACTTCAAGAAACTCTTCTAGAAAGCAGTTTTCAAGAGTACCCTCAGGTTACAGGGTTCAATACACAATTCCTCAGAGTTTTGTGGTTATACATCCTTGCACACCTAGAGTTAAGGAGTTATTGGGTTATGAAAGCCTGTAATCTCAGTCATGTACTTCTTGATCCCCTGATGTATGAGATTCATGTTCTCACAAAGTTTCATGGTTATACATACACTTCCTAGGTTATGGAGTTATACGGTTAGAGAAGCCTGCCAATTCACATGTAGTTTTGAACTCTTGGTGTACGAGATCCTTTTTTCGACATAATTTCATGTTTCTACACTCTCGTATATCCTGGATTATGGGGTTATGGTGCAATGAGATCATAAATTTGAACGTTTTTCAAATCACTGACTAATCATGTCAGTTTTAAATCCTTATAACAGTTTTCTAGAGTGTCTTGATGTTAGGGTCGAAACACGAACTGATCCAGGAATTCTGACTTTAGATTCAGATTTAGCAGGTTAAGGTAATATAAGATAAATTGGTCTGTTCCACGACCAAGCCACATTTTTTGCGGTATCGTGTAATTAAAGATAAACATCCATTGAGAATTTATAAAAAAAATGGATCTTTTTCGATTTAATTCTATTTTAACTTACATTAACGTTACCAAGCGCTTCAATAAATAATGCAAAATTACCCTGGAACTACCCATCCCTCTTATTAAAAAAAAAAACTTAACTTGTAACTGTGATGAAGAAGAAATTGGCAAAATAGCAAAAGGAGGTAAAGCAGCAGGAACATGAAATACGTTTCTAAAATAAAAAAGCATTTCAAAGAAAAATAAATTAAGAGCTTACTAGCTTTTACCCGCGGCTTCGCTCGCAGAGTGATAGAAAATCTTTCATAAAAAATATATATTTTTTTTTAATAAAAAGTATCCTATGTTACTTCTAATACCTCCAAGAATGTGTACAAAGTTTGATGATGATCGGTTAAGTAGTTTTCGCGTGAAAGAATATTGAGAATAGGTTGGACATATGAGAAAGAAAAATATTAAGAAGGATTTTTGGAAGTATTAGAGATCAAAATAAATAATGGAGAAGGACGACAAATAATGAAGTAGTCCAAAAATACAATAGCACGAGTATAAGAACTGTTGTAAAAATGGACAGAGCAAGGTGGTTAGATGTTTATAGAATGCCTCAAGTAAGACATCCAAGAAAAGCATTATTATGTGGTGAAGGAGGAAAGAAAAAAAAATAGGGGACAAAAAAAGAAATGGAGTGAAGTCGTCAGGGAGGATTTAAGAAGTCTAGGTGTAGAAGACTGCAAATCTATGGCAGTTGATCGAGTGAAGTGGAAGGGTCTCATTAAGTGTCTTGGAGCCATGAGCCTGCGGGGTTTGTAGTGCTGTTTATTTATGTATGAAACTTAAATATTTCAGGTTGAGCTGCTTTATCACTTACACTATAATTTTATGATTTGTATTTATTATTATAAATCATGCAGTAAATAGTAATACCAGATATTGATAATCCATTCAGAAGTAACGATTCTTTCGTACACAAGAAATAATTCTGGATTAGCTATTCTTATAAAACGAAGCGAATAATATTTCTGTCTGGTCTGACATTAAAGAATATCAAATTAATTTTAACTTATTCAGAAAACAATGTATCCTAAAAGCAAATAAGCAAGAGTGTAATTCTGAAACGAGTGTTAAACCAATGAATATTTATAGTGTTCATAAATGATAAGATCCTCGATCTTATAGTCATCTCAACAAACATTATTTCCGGAAATCCTGTATTTCATCGTGGACTGACAACAATAAATTAGAAATCAAGAAGTCTTAGACATTACTTCCACCACAGGTCTAACTCAGCCTCCAGCTACCAATTTATATTGGGCAATCGTTACTTTGTATTATAATTTGTTTATCTTATCGGTAATGAAAGGAGAAAGGATGTTAATCAGCAACCAAATTCTGACCAACTGAAAAACGCAGAGAAAATATTCGCACTATAAAAATTTTCAGACTGTTGGAGCCAGGCCAAAATCTCTAAATTAATGGGCCATTTCGAGGTCAACTATAACTTCAAGAATATATTTCCAAATAAGACTCACAATTATGGTATTAAGCTATACAAGTTTGTAGCACAAATGGGTATACATACAATATGAGAGTTTACGTGGGTAGAGGCAATACACAACACAGCATTCCCAACAAGAGAGGCATACCCAAATCATTTTCTAATAAAATCAAGAACGGGAGTTTTTGGAAGCAAAGAAACTCTACAACGTAGATAAACATCCTGCCCTAATGATAAGAAGTGCTCTTATCCACGATAACACGAACTCCTACAGATAATCAAATGTAACTGAACTTACACGTAATCATTACCATTATTTGTCTAAAGGTAGGATTAACAAAAGTAAAATGTTATGAAGCCTATGTGCATAATCGATTACAATGCTGCCAAGGTAAGGGTGGACTTTAGTAATTAAATGTCTGTATATTTTGAAAAAAATAAGTGGTACACATAAAATGTTTGGAAGCTTTGAAAATACATAAACTAGTATTTTGACTTTTAGATGTTTAAGCTGCTAAATCAAACTACTGTTGTTAATTCCTGTATTATATAAAATAGCTGGTGTTACTAAACTTGGGGTAACTGAATTTAAGCAACAACTGCTGATGACTTCTGATGAACAAGAAGAAAATGGTTCAGACACTAAAAAAAATAAAGTCTTAGGTTTGTCAAACCTAAAGATCTAGAGAATGCAGAGGATCTTGCAAAGGATGCTACGCTACCAACAGTACCAACAAAACAATAAGCAGCCAACAAGCCGACAAAAAAGTGCCAAGGATTATTTCATATTGCAAGGATTATCCAGATGAAGTTGCATTTTGTTTGCCATATGTGCCAACTAGTGTCGGGAAATGTCCCGATATTTTCGGAAATGGACAAATGTCCAGACAACTGTCTGACATTTTAGACATTTATACGGACATTTTAGAAAATAAAATGTAACAAATTTACTGTACAACACATGTCATAAGCTCAAGATGATACCAAATACTTACATTTTCTTAGAATATATTCTCTGAAATACAAGAATTAGGTGAAAGTTTAAATTTCTATTTTGTACATGTGAAATGAAATGAAATAAATTACAGAAAAAAAAATTAAATAAAAATAAATTTTTATCTGCAGTAACAAGTACAACATATAACATATATAGGTATGGCACATAGTAAATAATGTAAATATTCACTGCATTTTCTTGCCATTTATGGACTTTTTATAATAGTATCTCCAAATCAGTTTCTGACTTAACCATCTTTAATCTAAATAATTGGAGTAAAACCACAAAAAGACTATAAAACAATTCCAAGAGATTGTAATAATTTTGAATTGAAGATTTTAGGATTTTTAGGTTAACTCAGCTGAAAATGGCTGAATTATAAATCTGAAGGACATCTGGACAGATATGATAAATGTCTAGACATTTTCATTCTGTCCAGACACTTTTGGACAGAATTGTGTTATTTTTATTCTTGTATAAAATTGAAAATAACACAATTATTATTATAGAAAAACTTACATACTCCAGAGAATACATACCATACACAAAAAAAGTTCTATAACATACCCCTAGAAATATGTATCACAATCAGGGAAATATCAGTCAACATGTTAAAATATTTATTCAAACATATTATAAGCTTAATTTTAATAGTATTTTGTGAGTAAAAATCAATTAGATCTGGCACACACAAATATCATTGAAAAACATAGATGGCAACAATTTAGATGTTGAGCGAACTTTAAAGAGACATAACATGAGAATCTTTTTAAACAAAAAAAAAACTAATATAAAAGGAGTAATTTTAAGTGAAAAAATACTGCCGAGTCAATTTAAAAATTATTTGTGAATTGGTAAAATGGAAAGAAAAACCAGCAGAGTTGTTTTCAAATAAACTTGGCATTAATCCATTAAAATTACAAGTACCTACAATATGTTAAAATAATACAAGCTGCTGAAAGTCGTATTTATAAATTTAGAATATGAATTCGTTCATACCACGGATTATTATAGATAAGTCAAAATTGTTATCAAACAGAAAAAGCCAACAGTTTCTTTGTGTTACTCATCAATAATCTAATTAGAATAAAGCAGGGTTCATACCAGATTTGATGGGGGCAAATAGCCCTAAACCATATGGCCAGGATATTTACAAATCAGGTGTGCATTTCATTCCAATTTAATTAAAATTTAGATTACAAAGCAATCGCCATGTTGAAGAACTTTCAATGCTAAAAAAGGCGGTTTAGGCCCACATCAGGCTACCAAATGTTCATCAAATTTGATTAAAATAGTTTAAAACATATTAAATATTATTCTGATTAATTCATAAGTAAGAATATATATTAACTCACAATTTGTGTATGAACTCTACTTAACACCAAAAATTTTAACTATAACATGGCATGGATTATAAAACGACTTCATAACTCAATAGTAGAAGGATAAGTACATAATATATATATATATATATATATTTGATAGGAAAAAACTATATATACCTCCACGTCCTCCTCTACCACCACGACCTCCTCTACCACCTCGGTTATTATGACTGTTATTATTAAAGTTATCAGATGGAGCATCATTCCATCCACTATCAGAATCATTAGTTGTAGCTGCTCCAGAGCCCCAATCATCATTTGCTTCTACTGCTTTAAAACCTCTCCCTGCTGTAAATTTTCGTCCACCCTCAGCAGCTATACCAGCAGTCTTATATAAAACAAAAACTTAAAAAAAAAATCATAACTTTTTTTAATATTACTTACAACAGGAGTTGTAGTAGCTGGTGCTCCATCATCCCAGTCGTCATCCATTTTATTTACAAAAATTGTCTTAACAGATTGTACTCCAAATCTGAACAAAGACGCCAATAATTACCGCGAAATTTTTATAAAGGCATGCACGTGTTCCGGGTTATTCGGCAATTTCAAGGCCAAAGAGAAACTTATAAATTAATATACTTACAAAAAACTGCAATTTTCAGTATTTTCGTATTCGTTATACTATTGTTTATTTTCAAATAAATTTGACAATAGTTGTTATTCAATAATTAGAATGCACCGACCAATCAAGTGTTTTTTTGCAGTGCAACTTCAACCTTCAACAGACACAGACACAGAAATATAATATCAGCTTCTGCTTCTGCAAGTTCTGCTCTGCAGTCTATTTTTGGTTCTTTTCTTACAAACGAAAACGAACGAAGTACGAAGTAAAAAGTTTATGCGTTACTGCGTTGATCATTTGCGCATGAATTTTCTCTTAGGGCACGTTTGCATGACATGCAGAATATAAATTTGGGCTAAGGTCCGAATTAAAAGGCGTAAAATTGTGGGTCCGAATTAAATATGCAGAATATAAATTTGGGCTAAGGTCCGAATTAAAAGGCGTAAAATTGTGGTTCCGAATTAAACATGGCGTGCACAAATGACGGTAACGTCGAGACCGGGGTGGAGGCTATTTTGATGCATTATATGCATACGACAAATAGGTAGTGCAGTTGATGGATCTGAATTTACGAAGGAAACAGTGGTGTCAACTTCATGAAGTGAAAAATTTCACATTGTCGAATAAATTCCCCCGTTTCGCCGCATGCAATTTTAAATTCTTACATTTCTTTTCATTTTTCCCACACACGTTACTAAATGTAAATAAATAATTAATCAACTTGCATGCTTATTAAAAAATACGAGTTTAAAACAACTTTTTGTAAGTTACTGAATCGAACTTTCAAACAAGGAGCTTATTTGATGTTATAAAAAAAGTCCTTCATCTTTATTAACTTCTTTGTTGCATAAAAAAAATAATAATGGTGACGGTTACACCTAAGTAACCTCAATACATACTCAACGCGGCAGTTAAATAAAAACAACTTATAAACACCTCGACCCGTAGTAACCACTCCAACAAACCTACCTCCTCCACCATCCAAACTAACCCCCTTTAAGTTTCAGGAACAACCAGGACCAAGAATGCAAGAAGCAAGAAGATACAAATGACAAAAACCTATCCTCGCGGAATAACTCCGCGTTACCCTAACGTTAGGGTAACGCGCACCAATCCTACACAGACAATAAGATAAAACGCGGAGAAACGGTTTGACGTAGCCGCTAGACATGACAATCCCCTCCTCAGGCAAGCCGTTGACTACGTACCCGACGTGACCGACAAACACAAAAGACCTAGACACCAACTTTTTGACCCTGGGTGACCACCCAAACGACATCCCCCTCCCTGCCCGCTAACCTTTTCTTTTTCAGAGACCGCCAATATCAAGAAACGAAGACAACGACACACACACACACACATACACACCCCCCCTCCCGCGCTAGCCTAAGGGCCACCTTAGCAAAGCGCATCCCAGGCTAGCTAGCCGCGCTACCCTACCCAACCATATCACACAAAAACATGACACCACCCCCGGGGTTTACACAGACGAGCCGGCGAAGCAAGAAGAGTGCCAGAGGGCCCTAGCCGGCGGGGCCCAGCCAGGACAAAAGGAGGTCCCACAAAGCGCCTACACCTGCCGCATTTGCGGTCGGGGTAGACGACGGATGGGGCCCACCTACGAAGGCTGTCCAGGCCTACACGAGATGAGGTAAGATAAAGAGGGATAATCCCCCTCGATCCCAAATCATTGAGGCCAATTTCTAGCCATGGAATAATGGCGAATTGAAAATCGAAGAGAACAGGATTTTGTTTACTATCGACATTTAATTCGATTTTAAATATTGTTTAGGTAGACCTAATCTTCTGTGCACAATTGAAAAATAGTAATTGCCTTTTTAGGGAAAAAAGAAACTACCAAAATTTATGTATTATGTGATCGTAATCAAAAGTTCGATTCATAAGGCAAAGGGAATTACCGATCCTGATCATATAATCCGACATGGCCCGGAATCCCAGAAATAAGAAAACAACTACGAACATGATTTTGGGAATTAATTTTTTATAAATATTTCATTTTTTTAGTTTTTTGCTTATAAAAATAAACCCTAAACTAATAAAGCAATCTGAATGCCATAAGCAGACAACTTGTACTGTATTGGCACTGCGGTAGCTATATATTATAATAAAAACAGACAATAAGTTGAAACGAAACTTGTCTTGTAACTTCTACATTTACATAAGAACGTTACTCGTTTTGTTTTGCATAATAAAATAAATGTGAAGATGTTTAGGCTGCAAAATCTCTGAATTATTGAAAAAATAACAAAAAGTTGCATTTTCGTGCCAATATATGCCATGATTTCATTAATCGTGTGCTCAAGTGATGTTGCCACTCAAGCGTTGTCAGCACGACACAATTTTTGTTTTCGCACTACGGTCTCATAATGCTGTTATTAATAAAACATCTGTAATATCGCAATCCATTTACTGGTTATTTTGAAGCGCTACCAAACAGATTTTCATATAGGTCTTTACCAAGATCTTTGCGTTTTGGAAATCTGACTCTTTTCCATGAAAAAAAGCCGACTTAACCTAATTTTTTTTTTAATCAAGCTTATTTTTCAAATTTCCTAACAATTTCTTTCGTTTTTGGTGTCAAATTACTCAAAATAATATAGACAAACAGTATCAGTAGCCCACAGTTTTTAATTATAAGTAAAATAACCTTTCTGTCAAGTCCGGAAATCAATAAGATGAATACCGCATTCCACGAGTATGCACAAAAACTATATATGTATGAAATCTACTAAATAGTAGAATATGTTAAATATTTTGTCAAAGACGTTAAGAATCACTGTAAACATGACGATATACTTAAAAAATAATGAATAGAATATTGTTACATTGTAAACATAATTTATTTATATTTTTAAAATTATAATAAAAACAAAAATGCGTTATAAGGTCTTCAAAATAACAAATACAAATAAATCGACAGAAATTTCGTTTTAATGTATATTTTAGTGTAGTCAAAAAACTACTAACGGTGACCTAGTCTAAAACAATGACCCTCAGTCGACGATGGATGCTTACTATGAAATGGGTAAGTTCAAATAATTGTACAAATTATTTTTCATTAACTTAAAAACTTAATTATATTTAACCAGAGAAGTTGGCAACAAATTCTTGAACCACCTTCTTAAGCTGGGCATCAGTTTCGTCGGTGATTTTACCTTCCTTAGCGATGCTCTGAAGGATGCCCTGATGGCTACTCCTATATTAAAAAATAAATGTTAACTCTATCAAGAAATGCTAACCATAATATATCTTACTTGACGTGTTCAGAAAATTGTTTCTCAAAAACTGTAATCTTGGATGGGTCAATCTTGTCAAGATGTCCTCTTACTCCACAGTAGATCACAGCAACCTGTTCCTCAATAGCCATGGGTACGTACTGACCTTGTTTCAACAATTCGGTCAGACGGACACCACGGTTTAACAATTGCTGAGTGGCGGCATCAAGATCGGAACCAAACTGGGCGAAAGCTGCTACTTCACGATATTGGGCCAATTCCAGTTTCATAGAACCTGCTACCTACAAGAACATAATTTTTACTTTCCTTCCTTGGAATACCAAAATTTTAAATTAATCGTGAATCATTCTGTGAATTCCTTAGAACCCTTTTTAGAAAATGCACGTTTCAATTGATCATCAAATCCATCGGGCTCAGCAACCGAAGGAAGTAATGAAAAGTAAATCAATTGAGATTATGGTTGTTGCACAGATTATTTATACAGTTCGGCATCTTAGTTTTTAGATGAATGGGCATACAAAGTTTTTGGACCAGGATAATTTTTGTAGTACTACCACACTACTATTATAAATATGTAGGGCATTCAAAAAGATCACAAAGAGGGGTTGGTTTTTACAAACAGAATATTACAGGGTGTAAATGATAAGTAGTTCAGCCAAACTTTAACGTCATATTCTACCGATGAAAATAATCAGGTTTTGCCATATAAAAATTTTTGATAGGATGCTTCCCTATGAAAATACAGGGTGTTAAAAGTTTCAAATATTTATATTATTTTGTAAGTTAACTGGCAAAAAAGATTGAGTGATAAAATATGGGGGATGACATTTTTTTATAGGGACTATTTTTTCCAAAATATACTCCAGTGCCGCAGTTATTGGGGGAGTAGGAGACCTTTAAAAAAAATCGTATGCCACTGGTTTTTTTAAAATAATTTTAAATGTTTTTAAAATGTACAATTAATTTGTAGCAATAAAGTATTCTTGTAAAGTATTCGTAAAATTTACTGGTCTTTACGTAATTGAGAAATCAAATAAGGAAATATGTAAGTACCTACGTTGCTATTTACCATTTCCTATTGGTTGCTAAATGTGTAACAATAAATTGAATACCAAATATTTTTCAGAGATTTCAAAACACTACATCACAAGAAATGTTCAAAATGCTGTCCTAGAGATTTTTTGCCAGTGAAGTTACAGGAAAAATAATATAAAAATTTGATACTTTTAACACCCTGTAGGGAAGCGTCCTATTAAAAATGTTTATAGGGCAAAACTTGATTAATTTCATTGGTAGAATATGCCATTAAAGTTTGGCTAAACTTTATTATTTACACTGTATATTAGTGATGTAACGAATGTCAGTTTTTAAGCATTCGCGAATGCCAATATCTGTTGTTGACATTCGCGAATGCGAATACGAATATTCAAAAGCGCCGTTTATCTATGATTCAAAATATGCCGCGCGCGAGGCACATATTTCCGGCAACAGCGGCGCTAGAGGCTAAAGAAATTAGCGTTGTTAAGTTGGTAGAATGGTATTTTGGTATGATTGGAATTTGTTTTCTAATGTCTAAGAAAGGTGATTAATTAACACCAAGGTTGATTATAGAAACATATAATTGTTTTAAGTAAGTTTTGTAATTAAAAAGAAAATAAATGAATACTTTTTTGTTTAATTTACCTAATATTGTTTTCACATTCTGTATTTTTCTTTCACGTTCATATTCGCAAAATTTTCAAAGATATTTGCGAATGCGAATATCATAAATCAAACGAATATTCGCGAATGCAAATGCGGATATTCGTACATCACTACTGTATATGTCTAATCACCAGTTAGGACATGAATGTTATTCAACAGGGTTAGATAATAATATATAATTCACATTCTATTTATAGTTTATTCATTCACATAGTATTATTTTTGGAAATATTAGTCAGTTCCGAGAATTTTTTGTAGTTTTTAAGGCCAAACACTATAAATTAAAAAGTTAAGAAAAAACAAAAGTTAAAACTAGTTTAATTTGATTAAAATTCTTAATAAGAATATTTTTGATTTAAATTTATTGTTCACTTTTTTTTAAATATTGTGTGCGGGTTCCAGAGACTGAAACACTCTACTCGTGTCTTCTCAGTTATATTCTGGTTGATATTAGCATTCCATTAAACTTATTTTGACTATTTTCTATTCACTGCATAAATTCATCAAACTTCGTCATTAATTAAAAACATGATCTAAATGATACTTTGCTAATTTAATTTCATATCTTTTGAAAAAAATTATGAGGTTACAACAAAATCAGAAAATAATCAGTGGTTTTTTTAATGGAGCCATTGGTATTCCATCAAACTCATTAGTATAGTCTTTCCGATATCAATTGAAGAACTAAGTCGTTGACGGTATGTACCAGGTTCGGTAGCTGGCATTGAAATATTTGAAAAACTTGTTGCCAGATTTATTTAACCATACCCATATACAGGTCTAGTCAAACTACACGTGAAGGTGGTAGAAATGTACACGCCCAGTTGAAGAATGCGAGTGCAGGCAAACAAAATCTAACACAATTGCATTGGGCTACTGGGCAATAAATCTCAGCTTTTGACAAGTGGTTAACAAATTGCCCAGCAGTACAGTGCAGCAATGCGAAAATTGGTGTGATTTACGTAATTTTAATTTTTTATAGGTACACTGCCGGCCCTTTGAAAGTGGACGATTTATTTTTCTGTGATGTGGTCTACTTTTCTTATGATAAGTTTTTATATGTCAGTGTCATTAGTAATTTGGATGGCATTCAAGATGCTGCGTTTAACGGAACCAGAGAAAGTGAGAGCTATAACTTTACTTCAGAATGATTAGTCATTGCGATAATCTGCATGTATGCAAGAATAGCATATTTAAACTCAAAGAAAAATAGATTGCGGAGGGTCACGTACGTTATGTTCACGGTGGTGGACGTCGAAAAGTAAGCACCACCTAAGAATAAATCCTTTTGACATGGCATTAACAGCTTCCTTTGAGACGAATTTTCCTGGATCAGTGCGAATTGCAAAGAAGCGGATGAAAGATTCGGAGCTGAAGAATTATGTGGCCGCAAATACAGTTGCTTTGACTCCCCAGTATAAAGAACAGAGGTTAGAGTTTGCAAGAAAATTTGTAGGAAGCCCAGACAACTTCTGGGAGAATATTATATTTTCGGACAAATAAAGTTTTCAGTCTTGCTCCGATGGTTCTGTCCGTGTCTACCCACCAGAGATTATAATTGTGCAATTTACACCTCAAGAGTTGCGTCAGAATGGTTCATTGATAACAACATCGATGTTTTACCTCGGCCCTCAAAGTCCCCTGTCCTTATTCCTATCAAGAACGCTGGGATATATGGTGAAAAAAATTTACGACAGAAACTTCCGTCTAGAACTTTGGGATGCAATTGAAAACGCATGGGATAACATCACTGAGGATTACACAAGAACATTAACTTTATCAATGCCATGTAGATTGCAGTGTTATAGACAAAAATGGTGCTTGGACATAATACTAACTTTCCAAGTCGCGTTTTTCTGACGACGAAAAGTGTTTCATTTTTAGACCTCGTTGACGGCGAATGAATGGCCATTAGAATGTATAATATATTTCAGTATTGGAAAAATAAATAATTTGCTACTTAATTTGGATTTGTTTTGCTCACTAGAACTAGTATGAAATTTGACATAATGACAGCCGATTTGAACCTCACATTTTCAAGTCAGCTTCACAAATCCAATTATAGATAATTTGCTTATAAGAGTCGTCCACTTTCAAAGGGCCGGCACTGTACCTTCTATTAATCATTTATATTACAATTGCGAAAGGAAAAAATAATATTATTACAACATGGCATATTGGAGACCTTTTGAAATGGAACAAAACGAAATTTATCATCAATATAATAAAATTGTTTGAGGACATAAATAATTAAAATATGTTGTTGGTCAAATGAACATATAATAGAAATTTTCTACATATTATATATAAATTATTATAATTTTTTACCTTTAGCAGAAAACTTTTTTAGGGACGCCTATGAAATTTGTTAAAGTTTTTATACATGTTCAACTGACTTCGGAAAGACTATAACATATAACATATTTTTGATTATGTGCATTAATATAATTTATCGATCCAATTTTCCAATGAATTTAAAAACTCGCCCTAGTTGATGCTTTACATCATTCAGGATTTGAAGTGATTTAAATTATTTAATTATTTTTATTTTTTCATGTTTTTTGGTGCTTTGGCCATTTTTGAAAAAAAGAAAAAGAAACATTTATGTCAAAAAGGCCAATTAAGGGTTATTCTATGGAACTTTGTTTACCTAGTGACTCTTGTATACAGGGTGTCTCATAATTAGCTGCCAACCCTGAACAGGCCGATGCTATGATCAAAACTAAGTAAAAAAGTTCATATGAACATGGGTCCGGAAATGCTTCCTAAGGGCACAGGGACCCATTGAAGAGGGAGGAATGGAAATCATTTTTTTGCAATATCTCTCAATCGCGTTGTGATAAATGAATGAAATTTGGTATACACAGCTAAATTTTGATGAGCAATTTGATGGACTAATCCATTTATTTCCACAACGTCCATTGGGGTGGGTACGGGGGGGCCCTTGGTACTTTGCGTGTGTAACTTTTTCTTCTTTGACTTTTTAACAAATTGGACAGCAAATTCCGTTTTCCCGAACTGTTTTTCGTTAAAAAGGTACTCTCGTTTCAAATCGTTATCTTTAATGGTTTCTGAGAAAATCGCTCTTGAATTAATCCCACTTTGGTCAATTTCATAGTAATTTAAACAAAAAATAATAATAATAATTTTCCTTTCCTCTCTTTTCCATTTAAAGGATTTTTATTTAATTTAATTTTTTATTATTTTTTTATTAAAATTAGATTTATTTATTCTATTATTACTTTCTTTCATTGTTTAAGAAGAGGCTTTTTTTTGTAACATTAATTAGATTTTGTATTGAGTGATGTGGATATTTTTCATTTTTTTTTCAATTTTCATTGCAGTTCCTTAAAATAACACCCAAATGATCATTTTGGAAAAAAGGTTTATTTAATTTTGTATTTTTTAAAACATGACAAATAAATAACTTCAGACAACTGATTTTTAATAAAAAAAGATTTTTAAAGAAAATTTTAGATCACAAAATATTTAAAAAAATAATAATTTATCTGTCCTTAAATTATGTATATTGTATAAGTCAATTTGCATCTTTTGATGCATAATTGTGTGTAATTATGTCGAGTGTAGTTAGTGCCAAAAAAAAAAACGAACAATTCATACTATACCGACAAAAAAAAAACAAATTTATACTTGGATCGTTTTAAGATTTTGAACAGGGCCAAAATAGAAAAAAAAAATAAAATTTCTATGTAAATGACTTTTTTGGACCTTTGATAATCACACTGTATTTAAAAATGTGTGTCTAAAAATATTTTGAGATTTTTCTCTTTGCAAAAAAATGCAAAATATCAAGTCTTACGCATGGGCAAAGCTAGAGGGGCAGGGGTGTGCCCACCCCAAAAAAAATCCAATAATATCATCGAAGTAGCTGACTGTGAGACCTTTTTTTTTTATTAAAATCAAATAAAAACATATTTAGGCTTTTGAAATTTTATGTCAGTATGTTGCTGATTGCGTTTTGTTTCTTCATTCAGCATTTAGCCTGGCAGCCGTGGGCCCACCCCAAACAAAAATCCTAGTTACGTCCAAGGTCTTACAAACGACTTCGGGATTTCAAGAAATTATTACACAAGTAGGCATCAACTTACTTGTTTCATGGCCTTCGTTTGGGCAGCAGATCCTACTCTAGATACGGAGAGACCTACATTGATGGCAGGGCGGATACCTTTGTAGAACAATTCAGTTTCCAAGAAAATCTGTCCGTCAGTGATAGAAATTACGTTGGTGGGAATGTAAGCTGATACGTCACCGGCTTGGGTCTCAATGACAGGCAAGGCAGTCAATGAACCTCCTCCATGGGCATCAGACATTTTGGCTGCCCGTTCTAAGAGACGGGAATGGAGATAAAATACGTCACCAGGGTAGGCTTCACGACCTGGAGGACGACGCAATAGCAGAGACATCTATAACAACATAATCGTGTGGCAAATCCGCTTTTTATAATTATCGTTGAAACTATTTAAATGGGACTGTAATTAATATTCCCTGAATTTATAATAAGAACGTACCTGACGGTAGGCAACGGCTTGTTTGGACAAATCATCGTAGATGATTAGAGCGTGTTTGCCATTATCTCTGAAGAATTCACCCATGGCGCATCCTGAGTAGGGTGCAAGGTACTGCAAGGGAGCAGCATCTGAAGCAGTAGCAGATACGATGATTGTGTAACCGATGGCACCGGTATCTGTCAAACGCTTCAAGATCTGTGCCACAGTGGACCTCTTCTGACCAACAGCCACATAGATGCAGTACAATTTCTTTTTCTCATCGTCGGCATCATTGAACCTCTTCTGGTTGATGATGGTATCAATAGCCAAGGCAGTTTTTCTAAATAAAATAATCGGATGTTTTATTTTCATAGCAACAAAAAGCAGTGTAGCTTTACCCAGTTTGACGATCACCGATGATCAATTCACGCTGACCACGGCCAATTGGTACAAGAGAGTCGACAGCTTTGATACCAGACTGCATAGGTTCTCTTACAGAAATACGTGGAATGATACCTGGAGCTTTAATACCTACACGGAAACGTAGTTTGGTGTTAAGTGGGCCTTTTCCATCAATTGGATTACCTATAAAAAAAATTATGTTTGTTGTTCAAACATTGCACAGTAAAAGAAAAACTAAAAAATAAAGGATATGTCCATCATTATGTGAAAAAAATTGCAATAAACGATAACTTTTCAACAGTATAGACTGATGAAAACTGAAGTGCTCATATTTTGATAAAGCATGGGACCCATATTATTTCTTAAGGAATAATTTCCAAGTCCACAAAAACCTTGTTCATAACGAAAAACTTTTTGGAAAAAATTACATTCTTTCATAAAGTTACAGCATCATGAAGTTTGAAAAATAGAATTTCAGTATCGAATTAAAATTTAAATAGATGTAACTTCAACAAAAATTTAATTTTGTCAAAAATGAAGAAAAAAACGACTTGCATGTTATCTCAGGGTCGGTAACCATCTTTTTAATTTGTTATTCAGCAAATTGTTACAACTTGTTTCACCATGAAAATTCTCTGTCAGCATTGAGATCATCCCCTAAATAACTGTATGACTCTTACACATCATTTTCAAAATAGCACCACTTTAATTTTTACCAACCGCTTTTCAAACATACCTAGAGCATCTACAACTCTTCCTAACAGTTGTTCACCAACTGGAACATCTACAATGGCACCAGTTCTCTTGACGATATCACCTTCCTTAATAAGTTTGTCATTACCAAAAACTACTACACCAACATTATCAGGTTCCAAGTTAAGAGCCATACCCTACAAAATTAACTACATGAATTCCTTATTTCTTTCATTATATATATATTAGCCTCGTCTTCATCCTAAATGAAAATTTTGTTAATTATTGTTCCATCACTGACCTTGAGACCTGAAGAGAATTCCACCATCTCATCAGCTTGAATATTCTTCAAACCGTATACACGGGCAATACCATCACCAATACTCAACACACGACCTGTTTCGTCTAAATCCGCTTTTGGGGCAGCTCCAAGAATACGCTCCTCCAAGATGGAAGAAATCTCAGCACCACGATTTTGTGCGGAAACATGAACATTGCGAGCGGCGGCTGAAGCGGCTGGAAAAGCGGCTCCCGCGACCTAGATTAAAAATAAATAAATTTCAAACAGAAAGTTCAATATTAAATTAAGGTTACATATTACATAACAGTTATTTAACTTATAAAACTATTTGCAGAAATAATTTAAAGAACATTCAATTTAATTTAAGACAAAAAAGTTACGGTATTTCTCAAGTCAAATCAGTTTCAATATTATAAAAAGTCGAAGATAATTGAGAGAAGAGAGAAAATATATTATGTCATATAAATGTCGGCAAATTTTGTACCTTCAGAAAGGAATCACATAGAAGGGAAAAAACAGTAATTTAGGGGTTGATAAAAGTAATTACATTTAATACTGTACCTGGGTCACATTTTTAGGCAAGTTTCTCGCCACGGAAGCAGCTAAACGTACGGAGAGAAAAGACATTTTTCAAAAACCAGTCGCCCAGCACTAAAAAGATGGAGAACAGACCGTGGTCGACGAGATGGAAGCGACTGCGACGAATCGGAAGTCCAAGTGACGGTAGTATCACAGGTCACAGGGACGCATTCAGACGAAACGTAGGGCGCTGCCAAGCGATATCTCGGACTTTTTCTAATACATGCATTAGAAAGAACATCGCCTAATACTTCATCTGAACACGCCCTAGTAGTAGCATCGTAGTACCCATGGAGACTAGTCTCCATGGTAGTACCGTAGGATCTACGTCAAATTAATTTTGTTCAATGGTCACGTGCAATTTTCTATTTTTTATGAATTAATGATTTTATTTCTAAAGAAAATAACTAAATTAAAACAACAAAGTATCTTAGAAAGGCAACATGATATAGACGTGGTGTGAGTATGTTTACACCTCAGATCTAACTGAAGATAATTTTTTATATTATGATCATGAAAACTTTACGGAAAAATGTACATTTAACTTTATTTATATATTTGTATAATGAAAAAAGCTGGTTATCATTAGTTATCTCTAGACGTATAGACAGATCAATACTTACTTAGAGCGCGCCATTATTCCATGGCTAGAAATTGGCCTCAATGATTTGGGATGGAGGGGGATTATGCCTTTTTATCCTGCCTCATCTCGTGTAGGCCTGGACAGCCTTCGTAGGTGAGCCCCATCCG